GATACTTCCGGCGCATCACAGTTTTATATGTGTATCCTGACAAATATTTGCGCCTATAATACTTGTATTTGCAGGTGTATTTGTAACATTTCTTGTAGCTGCATCTTTGACCCCTGCACCTAATCCTCCTCCCGTTGATAGTGTACTTGCAATTATATGATGAGCGAGTCTTGATGCATTTCCTGTATCTGATATAGCTATAGACAGGAATAGCAGTGAACCTTCTGTACTTGACCCATTTATAAGTGCAAGATGCTTGGTTCTCTCCTTCATCACTCTCTATTGAATGTCCAATTAGATGCCTTTCATTATATACATAATTACTATTACCTTCATTCATAAGTCCATGATCATTTTCTTCTTCATCAGGGACTTCATCTTCTTCAATATCATTGTTGTCTGTGAATAGGATATAAGTACAATATACTCATTGTTCCTTACCTTCTTCAAAAGAACTCACATTGTCATCTGTGAAGCTATCACTCTCATCTAAACAAGGTTATACATTCATGCCTAAGTAATGCAATGTCTCACCATCTTTTGTGTGACTATCCTGCTGTTCTATGTTATTGTCGTCCTTGGTCCCTAATATAAGAACTAGTTTACCATTATACTTGTTACATGTTTACCTTCTCCAATAACATAAGATGCACACAGCAAGAGGATCAATATACCAGCACCTTTCACCATGTTTATGTGTACAGCTAGTCTGTGTCTCTGGCTTATCCAGTGTTTACTGTCATCACTTATTTATAGAATATAAACATGAAACTGTTCAATAATGTGTTGTTATTTTATCAACTGCAATAACTTTAAAAATACACAGACATGCACTTTCTGTATAATCTTAGTTTTAGTTTTAACTACAGCCCACTGTATTTTATAGCAAGTTTTACTGGTATTATTATCATGATGACATTTATAACCTGAAGTTTGTCATGTCCTGTTTCATTTTAACTTTCTCAATTCCTCTGAGTTTATTTCTATTTTAACACATTTTAGTTGTAGCTTCTAGATTTAGCTGTGAGAAATTTTTGTATTAAAATGCTTTAATACAACAAGTTGAACACAATTCCAATTGGGTTGCACTTGTAATCAAGACCATCTCAGGGTTTATTAGAGATTTTGACAGTGGATTGTCAGGTTGCTCAGCCAAAGGCCTTAAAATATTTTGATAAAAATCACAAAAAGAGAATTTCTCATTCTTAAAATACATTTTCTTATGCTGTGTATTTTTCTGTGCATTTTTTGTGGATTTTTATAAGTTTCTTAATTTGTCAAAAATCTTGCCAACAACCAAAGGCCTTAGATTTTTGGCCAAATTTCATCAAAATGGATAGGAGAGAATTCTTTATTTTTATAGTTTTTTTCAATACATATACATGTTTTTGTGTTATGTAGAAGTTTGATCTGATTCCAATCAAAATTGGATTTTTAATGAATTTTTAAAGTTAATCTTAATGCCATGTATTGCTTTTCAGCTCATGAAACATGCTGTTTAGCTTACTTAGATCTAGCATGCTTTGTGGGGAACCCTGGACCATGTACCAATGCTTTAAAGATATATTTTTATTTTTTAATGAATAAATAATAGCATAGCTAATTGTAAGAAAATTAGTAAGTGATAATGAATAAAGAGGTGGTCATATGTGGTTATCTATTTTAAATTTAAGATATGAGAGGGAAAGAGTGATGCTTAACTACATCAGTTATTAGTTTTTTAAAGCAGCTATGGTTGCTATAAGGTATTTTTGCAATTGATCTCAACTCTGCTTTAATTAACAGAGCATACATTGATATTGGCATAAAAACGCTCAGTGATATTGACAGTTGTTGAGTTTTAAATGATCAAAAAATAAAGGCCTGACAAAAATAACTAATAAAAACTTTATGCAAAAAAAGATACTAAAACAGCAACTATAGTTAATTAATGTTCTTTACAATGACTGTATCCCATCATAGTTTAAAGACAGAGACGCTTGCGAATGGTCCTTGAACGGAGAGAATAGCCAGAGAGATACCTGAAGGATTGTCGGATATATTTGCAGACGATCCTGCTGCAGGTAGTACGTTGCCTAACATGACGGTACCTGGTGACGATGACATATATGTATGAGCAGTAGTAGGTCTTTTTGCCATTAATAATTTTCCAGTAGCATCGTTTTTTGGGGACTTTTACACGGTAGGCCCTCAAGACATATCGGTAGCATGTGAAAGATTTACGTACTGGAGAGCAACGGCTGTAGCGTATGGTCCTGTACCGGGCTACATTGTAGTAGGAGCGGACATTTACATAGCGCCATTTGCAACCCTCTTCATTGACAGTATCCTCATTGCTGGCCACTGAAAGCAAGAGTAAGGATTAGTAATGCATAGAAGACTTTACCTTCAGTATTGTCATTCTCCT